GTGCGTGCCCCCAGCCAGTTATTGGGTACTCCATTAGGTTCAGATGTACAGCTCGAATGTCATGTTGAGGTTTGATAACAAACTTTTGCTTGTAAATTTCATTTAATTTTTGTAACAAATGTCTTTAGGCATCGCCTTCACCAGTTTCCTATTGGTTAAAAGGTGTACGCACCCCTAGTGGATTTGCAAGTGTGTCAAGTTCCAATGTTGAATCAGGCCAACCGGGTCCAGAAATGTTGTTGGATGGGTAATATCACAATGATGTAGACGCGAATACTAATAATCAATAATGATTTATGCGATTATTATTTTCTAGGCCGAAATATGGAATAACAGAGAAGCGTGACGGTTACCGTGGTGTCATGTTGCTTGTTGTGCGCTCATTTTCAGCCTCTGATGTAGGCACTTATCATTGTGTAAGCACAAATTCTTTAGGGAGAGCTGAAGGTACATTAAGACTATATGGTGAGTTAAATGTGCACAAATGATTACAAAACAATATAAAAAGATAACATTTCTTTTAGAAATAAAATTGCATCCTGGGGCTTCGTCAATAAACGATGATCATCTTAATTATATTGGAGGTGATAGCAGAAAATATAATAAATAAATTAATTCAGATATTTATCATTATTATTTTTCTTGTATCTAATTGCTAGGATTAGAGGAAGCGGCGCGTGGTCCAGCGCAATCACACAACATTTCTCGTAGCTATCTACAATTGACGTTTTTGCAGCTTTCATTTTTGTTGTTGTGCAATAAAATCTATTATATGGAAGTATACATCACAAGATGATGCAATGTTTTAACAAAGTAAAAACATATGCCATAAGATTTTTAATGGTGCGAAATTTTGGTTTATTAATATGAAGAGTGCATAGACAAGACGTAAACACTGTCAATATGAGAACAACTGCTATTTTTTGTAACTATAATTTTAAAATAAAATTTTTATTCGTATAATATAGTCATATCTTTACTTAAGTCATTACTTAAGTTTAAGTTGATTAAATATGAATATGGCATGAATTAAATGAACTCAGCATAAGCAAACACAAATGTACTAGAACGGCAATGCAAAAATGTCACATCAATTGTAACAATTCTATACAAATTTAATCAAATGCATTAAATATCTCGAACGAATTGGATAATTATAAACATAAATAAAAAACTGTTCTAATATCGTTAAAAACTAAATAAATAATTAAAAATTGCCAAAAGAAAAAACTCGTATCATGTTACATTTAAATAATTATTATAATTAATTCAAAATTGATACTATAAAATAGTGAATAAATAATTATAAAATATATAACAACTTATTTTAATATCCTGTGGTAGGAAGGTATTTGGAAGAATGAAAGAAAAGAAAATTTTTTCAAAATCTTTCTAAAATGTGTCCAAAATTAAAAATTTTTTTTTCGTAAATTAATGTATTATCACCACTCATGCAAGACAAAGCTAAATTGATATTTTAAAAGTACTTAGAAGAAACACCACATCAAAGTTAAATATTTAGGTTTACTTATGATACTATGACATGTGGTACACAGTATAAGGCATTTAATATAATTGCACACAATAAGTGAAGCTAAATGGCGAATATAGTTTTTTAATTTAATAAATGGAGAAATAAGCTATATCGGCATATAGCTTACAGGAAGAAGTTTCTAAGGATACCTGATTATATTAAAATTTGTTATCAAATCTTTCCCGACCCGGGAGATCGGAATCGCATCTTTAATTTATATTTTACAAACAGACTCAATATTAAAGCATTTCGTCGATTTATGCTTAGGAAGATTATCTGATTTCAGTTCCAATTATTATATATAGCAGATATGCATTTCATGCAAATTTCAACAAGTTCAGGGCACTACCTTATTTCCGGCGATGTTAGCATAGAATTTGGCACAGTTTGAAAAAAATTGAGTTCAAGTGATGAATACTATAAAAGACTAGCGAATATAAAACAGATATGGAAGTTATTATGTTAAAAAATTCAGTCAAACATGAAGCTATTTTCTGCTGCAAAACTGAAAATTATATTCAACTTTGTTTAATTTGCCTAGGTGACTAAATCATTTTTGTATGAATAAACTGTGGCACTGAAGGAGTATATATGTTAATCAATGAAAGGTTTTAAACTATCTGTTGAGTTTTTGATTTCGATTTTTTGTTCAAAGTTTTTATTCTCGGTTTCTGCAATATAGTTAGTCAATTGAATTATGTATGTAATATATTTAACATGTTTAGAAAAAATTTTATATTCGATTATGTTAAAGGTATTATGTATAAATGTAAAATAATATCATGCTTTAATTATATAAGTGCGGTGAAAATTTGACAGGACTTCCAAAAAATGTTCTATCCAAACGTAATCGACATTACTAACTATCTTTAATGAAGCTTTAAATTTCATAACCTTTACAATGACTACTTCTCCGCAAATAGGTACTTAGTGTAGTTTAGTGTAGTCATTTACGGTGTAACGACCAACTTTTCCAGTCGTTTTGTTTCCTGAGATAGCAAAGCGGCTGTCCAGGTTTGTTGCAATAATATTCTTATATACTGAAATAAAGTTCACTTTAAGTTTGATTATTATGTTTTTTTATTCCTCCTTTTAAAATTTCATAGATTAATATTATAAAGTTAAAGTTGTTTGTTTTTGATTATTAAACTGGGATAAATAGATTTAATTAATTCTAAAGCTAATTCATAAATTCGAAGTTAATTCCATAACACAAACTTGGTACACCGGGAATAGATAAAAGTAAAACACACACGGCTTTGTCTTCTAGGATAAAATCGACCTACGGAAGTCTTGGTCTTCCAGTCTTAGAAGTGCTGGAAGACCTGTATAGAACGTGATGTTGACTGAATGAGCCAGGTTAGTTAGGAACAATTAACAATAAATGATCGGATGGACCAGTTAGGCTCAACGAGCCTGTAAGCTAAATTTTGATCGAATTGACCAATAGGCTGAATGAGCCTGAGCTGGGCTTGTTTCTTGTCTGAATTCACATAGCCAAGTCTCTCTGCTTGTACAATGCGCTTTTATTTATATTCAAACTACCGAAGCTTTTCCTGTAGTGCATCGGTACATTTGCCGTTGGTATTTTTGGTAGTTGTCGTCTTTTGTTGCTGTTATTCGCCTAGGCGTAATTTCTGTGCTTTGTGTTTTCGTGTGTTTTTGAATTCGTCGTACTTTGTATTTAGTTCAACCAAAGCTTTCAAGCTTTGATGTTTCTTGTCTTGTTTACAAACGTGTTTTTATTAATGTAGTGTCGGTGTTTGTGCTTTTAATATTTATATTTATTTATTAATAAATAAATAAAAAAAGAAAGATAAAACAAATAATAAAACAAACAAAAATAAAATATATATATAAATAGTGAATAAATAAGGTGCGTATTTTCTTCACTTATTTTAATACACTTCTTTATTTTTTTTTGTTAATTGTAATAATAATTTCAGATGCATTCCGTGTGATACCGATGCAGATGCGATGTGTTACTTGTGAGTTATTTTAATATAATATATATATTAAATAAAATTAATATATTTTATTTTAGATTAGATTAGATTAGATTAGATTAGATTAGATTAGATTAGATTAGATTAGATTAGATTAGATTAGATTAGATTCTTTATTATTCAATTTCAAAGAAAAATTTTTTAACATAAATAAGTAATAAGCCTTAAGTCTAAAAACATTATAGTTACTTAAAAATATTGAATTGAACAAACAAAGAATACGACAATGACTTATAGTCGTCTGTCGGAGATGTTGGTTTAAAATAAATTTACTTTCTTGTATAACGTTTAGAAAATTAAAATTTAAAATTTACAAAATTAAAATTAAGAATTTACAAAATTTAAAATTTAAATTTACAAACTTAATTTATATTTACAATACAAAAAAGGAATTATACAGAATTTAAATTAATTGTATATGCTTTTAAATATTAATTAAAAAGTATTAAATTCATTTATAATTAGTTTTCTGTATTTTAAAGCACTAGTAATATAGTTAATCAATTTTTTCCAGTTAGGATCATTTTCCCCATTAAGCACATTGATTACTTCCTCTTCCACTAACGTTTCTCTCTCAAAACAAATTCGTCTAAACGGCCTTAGTATAGGACAGCGGCCTAAGAAGTGCTGTATGCTTTCCGTTTCAGTGAGATTGCACAGTGTACAGTTTCTATTGTATTTGCCATCTAAATGAATTAAGTCGCATCTCGCCTTAAAAATCCACATTATGTGCGCACGACTGAAGCTTTCTGTAAAATATTGAGCCCCCAAGTTATGGTCTAGGTACTTATAAATTCGGCTTTCACTTCTCAATGCTTTTCGCCACATTTTTACTCTGTTTTCCACTTTTAAGTGATTTAATAATACGAAATTATTGTTCTTCCATTCTTGGCTTGTTGTTTCATCATTCCAAACTAGGCTTGCCTCATTTCCCAAAACGTTTAGTCTCTCTGCCCAAAATACATTTTTTTGCAAAACTTTTTGTGACAATATTCTTGGCAATCTCCTTTCATTATATTCAAACAAAGTCTTGTAGACGTATCTTAAATGCAAGTCCATTGTGTACAAATGCCCGCTTTCCATATTTGATTCCAGCATTATGGCGTAGGTTGGAGTGAAATTGGGAAGCCTGTAAATTCTTTTGAAGAAGTAGCATTGTAATTTGTCTATTTCGCTAAACATGTCACTCCCCCAAATTTGCGCCGCATAGCCTTGTATGGCTCTACAAATAGCATTGAACATTTGCCAATTTGCCCTGATTGAAATTTTATCGTTATTTAAATACGTACTCCAAGTGGCATTTATGCTTGATTTTGCAGATATATTCCTGTTTTCCAGGTGTTTTTTAAATATCATTTTTGGCGTGAGCGTTACCCCTAAATATGTATATTCAGCGACTATTTTAAGCACTTCCCCTTTGTATGTCCACCTTTCTCTACTAGACAGCTTACCGCCTTTTCTAAACACCATGACTGCCGATTTGGCTAAATTTACCTCTAAATTCCAACTGTCGCAGTATGTTTCAAGATTCCATATCATTTTCTGTAGCGTTTCTGCATCATCGGACAAGATGACTATATCATCTGCATATAACAACAACCTTATATTCAGTTCTTCCACCTGCAAACCACCGTCCAAATAATCGTGTAAGTCGTTGAGATATAACCCAAACAGAAGGGGGGCGTTATATCTCAACGACGATTATATTAAAGTTCTATCAGTTGTTATGTAGGCCTGAGATGAGAAAGACATCAATATTAAGGACAAATAATATAAGAGTACGGATATTACCTGAGTTGTCCCACGCTGTCCAAGAGCACCTTGCGTATGTAAGGCATACATAATTCCCTGGTCACATAGCATACGACTGTGTGATTCTTTCGTTGGTTCAATTTTACGTACAAAAATTTTTGATAACCAAGAGACCAAGAGTCGCCTTACTTTACCGGCGTTGTTGTCGCTATTGCTTTAATAGCCGTCTTATTTGATATTTTTATTGCTTGCTATAAGTGCATCATTAGGGTGGCTCAGAAAAACTAAAATGCGATTTTTAATGAGCGCACCCCCTAGGAATATGCCATTGACCAAAAAAATGATATTCCCAAAGTTTTGGAGCAATAGGATTAAAAATGACGTTGCGCCACTCGAGCAAGTTTTTCAGGACAAAAAACAGTAATTTTTCAATTCAAGGTCATTTTTTATCTTTGTTACTTGTTTCAACACTTATTAATATATACTCATTTGATAGATAATTAAAATATCTTTTTAATAAGATACTGATGAGCAAAATCGGTTAAAAACTATGCGCAAAACACAATAATTAGTTCAGCGACTGTGCTCTGTTTTCTATTTCATACCTTTTAGATGGCATGCACAATGCAATCGAAAATATTTACAAGAAACATAAATAAAAAATAAAAATAATACATTTCTACTTAATAATTTATATAGATATTTAAGTAGAATTGAAAATGTAGTCAAAACTAGAATTTTTCGAAAACAAAGAGAAAATGGTCGTACAGGGAGTATGACTGAAGTTAATATCCTTTTAGCAAACGAAGCAAAAGCGGCTAAAAATTGCATTGATTTTAATTTGAATAAATTCGATGAAGAAATTTGTCTCAAAATGGAAGCTGAATCTTTAGACACAGTTCAACAAAATTGGGATAAC